TTAAAATTAATATTCAACAAATATACACAATTACTTCTGATAATGGTTGTAATTTTTTAAGAGCTATAAAGCTCCTGCAACCTGAAACTGATTATGATATAAGGAGTGAATCAGCAGATGAGGAAAATATGGATGTAAATGTATATAAATATGATATTGAACAAAATACTTTTTTATCAACTATTATATCCTATCCGATTTATAGTATACGGTGTGCACACACTTCAGCTGGCACTTCAAGATGCTATAAAATTATCACCTATTGTGGAAACCATTGCAAAAGCTAGGAGCCTAAATTTAAAATTAAGACATCCCACTTACCAAAAGTTATTAAAAAATAAGAAACTCCCTAAGCCTGTGTTAGATTGCCACAGATGGCATTCAACCCATGATATGTTAGAAAGGCTGATTTTACTAAAATCCAATATCGAAGATTTTTTTACAGAGCAATCTGATTATTTATTGACTGAAGATGGGAAAGAGATAATAACGATTGTTGAAATTTTAAAACCGCTAAAAATCGCAACCAAACAATTCCAATCTGAACAGTTAACACTGACAGATTTTTATGCAGCATGGTTAAGATGCTGCATCGAACTGGAAAAAAATCCAAACCATTTTGCTCAATTACTATATTCTTGTCTTAAGAACAGAGAAGAAAGGTTTATAAAGAACGAAATTCTCTTAGCTGCCATATACCTGGGCCCAAGATACAAGGTTAATTAAAAGCTTAGTAAATTAATTATTTTAGATTTATATTAAAATTGTTATTTTATGAAATATTTAAATATAAACAATATAAATCCTTAAATATTACAGGTATTACTTAGTGATGATGATAAGGTTTGTGCGAAAAAACATCTTGTCAATTTATGGAGACGAATTAAAAGCTTAACAACGCCAATTTTATCTGATGATATTAGTTCCGATGAAGTTATTGAACAAGAAGATGATTTAGAGAAATTGATATAACTTAAAGAAAGGCAGGAGAAAATACTTAAAAGAGGGCCAACGATTGCTGAGAAAAGTATTGGAACAATAATTACTGGATTTAGCGATTATATAAGATTAGATAAGAAGGAAAATATTTTGCATTTTTGGGAGTCTGCTAAGCTGGAACACCCTGAATTATATATTTTATCTAAAATCTTATTTGCTGTTCCTGCAACCCAAGTTAATTTTTCATATTTTCACATATAAATACATTTAACATAGGTTAGCGTTGAAAGATCTTTTTCACATTTGAAATTCATTCTTTCACCACATAGATCGAGGATGAGTGAACAACTCTTGGAAGATATTATGCTAATACGTCTAAATAAAATTTTTAAAATTGATACATGACTATATGCTTTGTATTTTTAACTATATTTGCCTATAAATAAAATAAAAAATTTATTTTTTAAATCAAATTTATGTCTAGTTTTTTATTATGATTTAAATATAGAATTTTTTTTATCAACTCAAAAATTCTTGAACCCGAACCGAACCCGAACCAAACCCGGGTTCAAAAATATTTCCCTGAACCGAACCCGAACCGAACCCAACTTTTTTTTTATACCCCGAACCGAACCCGAACCGAACCCGGTCTAAAATTTTGTCGGGTTCGCATCCCTGGTCTTATTAATTTCTAAATAATAAAATTATATCTATATATTACTTAATGGAATTATAAAGGGAATCATTCAGTGGGCAATCAAAAAAATTTATTTTTAGTTCAAGGGGATATTAAGGAGCCATTAAAAAAATTTTTTTTAAACAAAGGCCTTTTCTTATCAGAGGTTGAACATGCTTTGTACTTTCCCATATTCCTACGTTTTCCCTAAAACCACTCTTTGATCGAAATTGGCTAAAACAACTTTGTTAACAAGATTATATTTTGCAATTAGGGCAATGTTTGAGGTCATGCCAGAAGAAATCTTATCATTGGTTAGTTCAAAATCATTGAGATGAGGATCAAATATGTTTGTCGAAATAAATATTATGACAACAAAACTCTTTGAGTTTTTTTACTCGCTGTTGTAATATATATTTCTGATTACTTTCCAAGGAAATTCTTATTTATTTTTATAGATTTTGAAATAATAAAAAATGAATTCGGTACTTGTGATATAATCGATTATCACTTTCAAATATTCTCAATTAAATATTTTCAGAAATTTTAAATTTCGCTTTCGGGAATATGCCTAAAATCAAGGGGACGTTTTAGACTTTTACATTAGTAATCAGTAGCTTAGTTCTCGTTTGATTCCTACTTTGTCTATTTTGATTATATTTTTTAAAAACTAAATTTGATTTAAATGTCTTTTTTGCTCATCTTGAATTGGTGAAGGTAGGAAGTAAAGCGTCACTGACTTTGGGGGGGGGGGTAAATGACCATGCATATCATAAGGTATATATTTTAATTCTATGATTTAAAAATTTGATTTCCAATTTTTTTATAGAATACTATTTTTTTTTAGTAATATGCTACATTTTTTAATAAAATGATATGTTTTTTATAAACATTTTGGTATTTTTACTCACATAGTTCAAATGTTTTGCTATATTTTATAAATAATTAATTATATTGTTTATTATTTTCTCGACAGTTTTATATTAAAATATTAATTAAATTTTAAACCTCGGCTCTATTGTAGATTACTTATTAAGTGTATTTGAACTTTAAAATTTTCTTAATTTTTGGGTTGTGTATTCCCGGTAAGAAATTGTTTTAAAATGGATTATTGACTATCTTCAAAGTGTGTATACAAGCAATTTATAAGTGGCCGTCTTTATATGGTATTTTTATTTGATTTAATTATATGTTTTTATCTTAGACACTCAATTTCTGCATCACAATGTTAAAAAAATGGTAAAATTAACCTCGCCAAAACCTCACATAATCGAAAATTTTATGTAATCGTGCATGGTCTTTTTTATGTTGTATTCCATATCAAATCAACTGAAGATTCAACCCGATCCTCTTCGATTTTTTTTAAAATTTACATGATGGTAGTATATACACTAACTAGCAATAATATAAAATTTTAATTCTCAACTCAGCTTACTTCATGAGATATGGCCATCTTTAGAAACGCGAAAAGTTCAAAATACACCATATTTAATTTTAAATTTCTCAAAAAGTAATTAAGCTAAAGGTATAATTTAAACTTTATTAAATAACTCTAAAATAGCCCTTTAATATGATATAAAATTTATTATATTAAAAATAAATTTATTACCCAAAACCGGAAATAGAAAACCGGAAATGGTTATAAAATAAAAATTGCCTTTTTTTTTCTTTCAAAATTTTTTAACAAATAGACATTATATATCTTAATTTGGGACCATTACTGGGCCAATAGTTATTACGCTTTAAATATAAATAGTATGGCTTAAATTCTATATTATACGAAATGAGTAATTATTTTTTTAACAAAAGTGATAATATTTGTGAATAATAGTATTAAAACTGAAATCCGAACCCCATCTTAAGATTTATATTCGCCCCCCCCCCCCCCCCCCCCCAAAAAAAAAAATTTCTTCTTAATTCGAGATTTTTGACCTGGCAATTCTATGAGTGAATTATGTAGATTATTTTCTTTGCCGGATAAAAAATTATCTTTGTGATCGTCAGAAATATATTTTCATAAAGATTATTTTCTACTTATATAATTAATTATCAAATAAAATAATTATCATAAAAATCAAATTCAATTCCACCAGCAACAGCCGTCATTTTTATTGATTAATTTTATAAAGCCATTTTTCTAAGAAAATTAAATTATCAGTATTCATTATCCAATTTATTTTTAATTTAAAATAATTATATAAAATTAATAGCTATCTTTTATTCCTTACCAAAAAAATTTAAATGTCTAGAAAAGTTATTTCTCTTCCAGTAAAGTGCTGTAATCCCTTTAGAATAAAATCTCATTCAGTACATTACGATCTTAGAAATGTTTTACAATGGATGATAGAAGTGAATTCTAGCTTATCAATTAATCAAAAAAATTTGTAGCTAATGCCGGAAAAAATTTAAAAAAAATTCAACAAATCTGATCTCACCTTTTACTTCTACGATCCCGATCACATTACCTTCTATTTCTAACTTACCTTCTACCTCAACTATTAATGAAACATTTAGCGATTCTGAACCTGATCAACCATGCAATAATCCCGACTCTTATACAGATTAATACTTCAATTTCAACTTTAAATGAAACTTTGCCATTTTTAGGGGAGACACCTATTAAAAAGAAAAGGTTAAATGAAAAAAAAATATCCTGTAAATAAATTTTTGAAAATTCAAGGAAAAATTAAAAAAGTTTTTAAAATAAATCTAGATGATCAAGCAAAAAAAGATGAAGCCGAAATCATAAATCAACTGAAAGAAAAATTTGCTACAAGTTTTCGCAATGAAAAAATACAAATTTTAACAGTTTTACCAAAATCTTGGACTCTTGATAAAATTGAAAGGAATTTTCAACCACAAATTTTATGGCCCGGACAGCTAAATAATTAGTTGAAGAAAAGGGTGTTTTGTCAAACCCAAATATCATAAAACCAAGTAGAATAATTCCGGATGACATTGCAAATAAAGTAATAGAATTTTATAATTCTGACGAAAACAGCAGACTTATGTCAGGTATGAATAATTTTATATCAATGAAAGTTAATGGAAAAAGGAACCAAGTACAAAAGAGATTATTTTGTGTAATATAAAAGAATTATTTACCAATTTTAAAGAAATAAACAGTAATATAAAGATAGGTTTCAGCAAGTTTGCTATCATGAGACCAAAAAACTGTATTTTAGCAGGCAGGTCTGGAACGCATACAATGTGCATCTGTACATTTCATCAAAATTTTTAATTAATTATAATTGGAGGTAAATTAAATCACTTAACTGCAAACCAGCATAATTATCCATTTCCTCCCTTAAAAGATTATAAACATTACATTGCACAAAGTCTATGCAATCCAGCCCAACCTTGCTGTTACTTAAAGAAATGCCAAATGTGTCCCGGCACTTTGGTACTTAAAGAAAGTTTACATTTATTGTTTGATAATAATGCCATATATTATATAACATTTAAACAATGGATGGCGGCAGACCGTACCACCCTCGAAACGTTAACTAAGTCCGCCAGCGAATTTGTGGAGTATTTGATTGAAAAATTAAATATTTTAATTCCTCATGCATTTATTTCTTCGGAACAATCTTCATTTTTTAAGTCATTAAAATCGAATTTGAAGGATGAGGAATATCTAATAATATCCGATTTTGCAGAGAACTACGCTTTTGTAGTTCAAGATCACGCTCAAGGCTTCCATTGGACTAATAATCAGGCAACACTTCATCCATTTATGATTTATTACTGCGAAAGAGGTACCATCAAACATATAAGTTACGTAGTTATATCAGATTGTCTAAAACTCAATACTTGTTCCTTTTATTTATTTCAAATAAATTTAATTCAATTCAATTCTTGAAAGAAAGATTTGATAAGATTTCAATAATTTATTATTTTTCCGATGGAGCCGTTACCCAGTATAAGAACAAAAAAAACTTTGTAAACCACTACAACCATTATAATGATTTTGGGATCAAGGCAGAATGGCATTTTTTTGCAACTGCACATGGCAAAACTCCTTGCGATAGTTTAGGGGGAATTACAAAGAGGTTAGCTGCTAGAGCAAGCCTGCAACGTCCTTATGAAAATCATATATTAAATGGATTTATATAATTATGCGAGAATTAATATCCCGGGTATTAATTATATACATTTGTCAGCAACGTTGAATATTTAAGAATGGAAATCAATCTTGAAAATAGATTTTTAACGGCCAAACTAATTCCCGGGACACAAAAATATCATTCATTTATTCCAATGGAAGGAAAAATGAAAGTCAAACGTTATTCTAATTCATTAGATAATTTAATGTATGATATTATTTAATTTAATATGTTTATAACAATATTAATTTTCCATTTGATATTCATGTAATATAAATAATTAGCTAAATAAAGTTATAAATATTTTTACAATTATTTTCTCTCTAAAATAAAATCGCTTAACTTATATGTTAAATATGACATAATGTCTACTAGTGGGCTCACAGCCCGAAACATTTATAAAAAAATATAATCGGCCCGATCATAAAGGAATTTTCTTTTTATTTGTTTCGTAAATTACTTTATATTTGGTATAATTTAGGATTTAAGCCATACTATTTATATTTAAAGCGTAATAACTATTGGCCCAGTAATGGTCCCAATCTAACATTTTGTACAAATATTAAGAAGTATAATGTCTATTTGTAAAAAAAATTTGAAAGAAAAAAAAGAGCAATTTTTATTTTATAACCCTTTTTAATATTATCATGAAATTAAAATTTAAACACCCTTAACACAAGCTCATTATTCAATAATTCTTCCTGTATATTAGGCAGAGACCTGTAGAGGCACCATTTGCATGGCCTAACACGGCCCGGATTTTATATTTTCAGGCTCAGAGTGGGATTAATTTTTTTGAAAAAAAACCCCGGTGTAGGATTGTGAAATCAATACCCATTGTAGCTTCAATACCGTATTGATATTATCATTGTAGATTCAATACCATAGTGACATTTTGGTATTGTAGAATCAATTTCGTATTGATTTTTAAGAGATGTTTTCATCGCTTCAAATATATTGGCAGATATTAAAATTGTAAAATATTTATTCATTATATATTTTTCCATTGTCTCAAATATATTGGCAGCCATTAAAATTGAAATATTTATTATTATATATTTATTCATCGTTTCAAATATAGAGGCGGCCATTAAAATGGATATTTATTATAATATATTTTTTCATCGCTTCAAAAATACTCTTTACCTTCTTAGGCTTTATTAAAACTTATCTTTTTTTATTGATATAATTTCACCAAATTAACACTAGTTAATGTCTTCTTCTCTTGATAAAATTTTAAACCTTTAAAAATTCGATATAAGTCCTTTATTTGACCTGATTCTGAATAGATATACCATTACTTTTATAAGTAATTGTGAAACTAACCTATGAACCCATGCAAAGTCTTTAAATTTATATGCATCTTTTATATCTTGATTACCAACTTGTCTTCTGTTAACATAAACATTAAAATTCAAAGACAATAAATAGTACTCTCCACAACTTCGTTCCTCTCTTACTGGCTGGGAAAGGCTTAGTCTGCCACTACACATATTTTATCCTCGATCTGTATCATAGGCCCAAGTATTTTTCCAGCTATTACAATTTTGATAATTTTATCGATCAGTTATCCAGTTATAAAGTTATTCACTCTATTTATTTTTACCCGCCACTTCAATTCTCTGTAACAAACAATTTTGTTTAAAATTTTCCAAATTGTAACGTTTATCGAGAATCTTTATATATAATTTTTGTCATAGAATAATTCTTACCGTATTTTTTTTTATATTAAGAATCCCATATATTATGCAATCACATTTTAGGCACTGACTATCTTAGAAAGTTTTTTTAAAAACTTTATATGAAATATATATAAAAATTGATATAAATTAAGACTATTTCAAAAGTTACAGTCAAAATTGCCTAAAATTTACAGTGTGGGTATTCTATATTGTAATATATTTCTGATCAGGTTAGATTTTTCAAAATTAATGGTCCTATGATTTAAAATTGAACGATTCTGCACTCATGGATTTTATATTCCAATACGACATTTATATTTATAATGAAATAAAGAAATTTAACTTTGTTTTCTTTAATTTTTTTATAATGTTTCTATTTTTAAAATGTTAAAAATATTTTTATTTGGTTTTATTTCTTAAATAAGTATTTTTAACATATTATTATGAACCAATTAATAAAATACAATTTGTTTAATATTAATCCCAAACTTATAAAAACATTAATGAATCGAAATTAATTGATAGGAAATAAGAAAGAAAGGAATAGTTTTAAAATTTTAAATTAAGGAGGAATGGAAAAGAACGGTTATGTCTATCCACTTACCTTATAATAATATATTTTTTATAACTACAGGTAAGTAACTTTCGAATAATTTTTATATTATAGATAATGGATAACCAAATTTAATTGCCTTTTTAGGAAATATTTGAATATAAAGTCTATACTGAAGTCTTGATTAATAATTTATAAAAAAACAATTAATAAATGAAAACAAGGTATCAAATTTTTAAAATCCTGAAAAAAATTGTTATAAACAATTTGTTTTGCTTAAATCTATTGTACCTGAAAATATTTTCTATTTGAGTCAAAACAATTTCCATATTTCTTTTGAGTGCACCTAAATAAATTTTAATAAAATGACTTGTTAGCCCATGCTTATATGTGATAGCAGCCGCATTTTATCGATATGTAGCAGAGCCAAATGTGATATAATATGGATATAATAATATATTTTATTATCTTAAAATTCAATTTTGATAATCTTTTAATATATAATATTTCTATGATAACCAATTTAATAACGTATATTTTAAGCACTCAAAAATTATATAGCAAAATCTTATTTTTATTTAAAATATTTACATTAAAAATTGGAGTTAATGATAAAATAATAACTAACAAGGTTACATTTCGATGCTTCATAAACACATGTGGGACAAACATTAAGGTCGGTTATAGACTATGGTAGGAATAATATATGAGTCGCCATTTTAATAAACTTAGTCACTTAACTTAAACTTTCAAACTTAGTCTCCCGTTTCTACAAGGTGACCATATAAGCATAAGCATATTATATAAGATCATTCAATGTAAGATGAGATATCGAAAATCTAAATTCCCCTGCTTTCAAATGGTTCACGATAATAGTCGAATTTTATTTATTTTACATTCATTAATAAGATGATGATTAATTTATTATTTCCATATTTAAGCTGACTTAAAAAAAATTAATTGTTAGTATAAATAAACAACATTTATTACGAATATAGATAATAATATTTTTTTTTAAACTACTCCAATAGAGTTCATGAAATCTCTTGAATTTCGGAGTTTAGTAACGATCTTTCTACTGTTAGCTTTAAATGGAATTGTTGGAAATATAACATTAATTATCTTTTTTTAAATAAAAAAATTAAGAATAAATAAAACCATTCTATCCCTATTGCTTACACTTATCTAAAATCCTTAGCCGTATCCGATTTGTTATCTTGTATATTTTTATGCCCTTTTATTCTAGCTAAAATAGGGAATTACAAAAAATGGTATTGGATGTTCTCGCAATATATCTTCACCTATTTGTTCAAAATAAACTTTTCATTCCTTAATTACTTCAGTAAAGTAAATCTATGCACCGTAGCATGTTTTTCGCTGGATAGATACATCTTGATCGCATATCCCTTAGAGTATAATAGAATGTGGTTGTGCGGAACCAATAGGATGAACAAAATTATCCTTTTTGCAATTTGCGTATTTTGCGCCGTTTGGACGCTGCCCTTGGTTTTTAAATATGCAAACGATCCCTTGACCAACAATCATAATGAAACAATTCTTATTAAAGATGGTTTAAGTTGTTCCCCGCATAGGTAATTAATATTCGATTTATTTATATTAAATAAATATAACAATATAATATAATATAAAAACTTAAATAGTTACCCTGAAAATATTGCTCGATACATTTTATCGGATTGAACCTAAGGATATCGCGGTCTGTAAACATGTTATAAAATTTCATGAATATGTACAATTGAAAAGTGTCAATTGTCATAATCGTTATCTTTAAAGTTTTCCAATATTTTCTATGAGAAATCATTAAAAAAAGATATTTTGCTTAAATTTTATTGAAATAATTCAGAAAAGTGCCAATTATAACAATCTTATATCTTTAGCTTCTTATTTGTTTTAGAGAAATATGTTAGTACCATTTGTCGAAAGAAAACAAATGGAAATTTTCATGCTCATAATCGTTGTCCCTTTTATACTGTTTAAAATTTGATAAAAATATGTAAAGTGATTATTAAAGATAGTTGTAACTCATGTTAAATTCTAAACTTTTAATATATGGATTCACAATCTTATTCCTTTAATTAATAAACTTTAATTCGACATCTATTATAATGTGTACCCTGCATTCACAGTTAGCAAATATTTTTGTATATTCGTGTCAAAATAGTGCTGAATCTGAATCCAGGGTAGGATTTTTATGAAAAGAACTTAAAAACCATATGAATATTAGTTGGTAATATGATACAATCAACATCCCATTAATTTAATATTAGGATTTTGAATTTTATAAACATATGGTAAAATGGATTACAATCTATATTTTAACCCATTTGCGTCAAAAAAATTCAAAAACCTTTAAAAATAACGATTATGACAATTATCACTTTTCCATGGTACATCTTCATGAAATTTTAATTTAACATGA